ATCGGAGCCAGCCGGCGGGAGCCGGGTTCAGGCCGCGGTAGCGCTGGCTAACGGAGCGCGCTGTGTCTGTTGCCTGTGACAGGTAACGTCTCTCAGCAATGCCACAATGTAAACGGGGGTTTGTTCGCGTTTTGTGAGGGAATCACCACCACAATATGTAAGCGCTTCCTCGTTAAAACGGATTTCTGGTAATTTCCCCCACTGAGTTTACGGGATCCAGTCCTTACCCCAGCTATTTATGGAAATGGGTTGAGGTGTTTTGGGTTTTTTTTGTTCTGTTTTGTTTTTTTGAGATATACACATAGATTTTTCGTAGCTTATTTCATTTATGCATCCCTTTTGCATTCAAATTATAGTATATATATTCAAATTAGCAAAGGAATTGTTGGGTGCCCCTTTAGGAGAATTTAAGTCTGACTTTGTATTGACTTATTTGAGCTAACGCATCATACACAGCTGAGTCCGTCCGATTTCTGCCCATGCACTGTCTTAACTGTAAGCATAAGTCAGAAATGAAAAGCAGAAGTCTTTCTTACAATCAATCGTACTTTTATTCAGGCAGTTTTAGAAGGAACTGCATGTATTCAGTAACCCTTTTGCTTAAAGGCTATCCAAATAAAAGTCAGTTTTAAAATATGTAACTAACTATATGGATAAAAAACCTCCCCACAAATAACAAACCTTCAGTATATCTTTGGAAGAAAGTGTTTCATAATGTATGTCAGAGTTTGAATATTCATTTCTCCTTAAATATCTCACAGTAAGAAAACCAAAACCATGTCCCTCTTGGGAAGTGGCACTCAGAACTTAAATTCAGTGATGTCCCATTTTCCCTTAGACAAGTGCGATAAAGAGAAATCTATAATATTTACGAAGAATATCGTGATCGGGTGGGAGGCAATGTATTTCTTTTTACTGCAAGCAGTGACCTTGTCTAGAAACAGCCATACATACGTGAGTGGTTTTTTGGAATGATGATTTGAAGTTATCATGAAGACAAACACCTATTTTTAAATTATATTAATTTCACATTCGGTGAATTATGCAACACAAATATGATACCAGATTACCAGTGAGAAGTCACGGCTTCTCCTTCTGTCATCTCTACAAAGGATAGTTCATATGGATTTTTAACAAGTTGGTTCTGTAACATAGCCTTGAAGAAGCTTACAAACCTTAGAGGCATGCCACACTACTTTGAGAATCTGAACTTGAGAAAATGCTTGTTTTAGGAATATAAGCCAGGCACCATTAGTAATGTAAATCATCCTTTTATTTTGGTAATTATTACTAAGTCTTCTAAGAGGCACTTCTGTGGATAGAGCACTACCACAAAAAGATGCAGGAGTATCATTCATTTATGAATACTACTTTGTTACACTGTCATATTGGCAAAAGAACTAAGATGAGTAAAAGCAAAGTTCCCCTGAAATGAAAACTTCTAATCATTTCAAAGAAGATAGATTTCTTTAAAAAAACAACAGGACTGCACAAGCAATCGGGAGACTAAAGCTCTTACTACATGAGATACTGTTTGCAATTAACCTGTTTTTCTTTTACAAAAACATCTGCAACTACATGTGTCTGTCTAAGGTTCCCAAGGCCTTTACAATTTAAGCTTCACACACCTTAACAATAAATGGATATATTTATTCCAAGCAGGAAAAGAGATGTAGGAATTGAATGACTTGTCAGTGGCAGAGCCTCAAGTCCATAATCCTGCCCTCCCTTCTGCACTATTTCAAGGACCATATTCCTTATATTTGTGCTACATTATGTGGACTCCAGTAGTAGTATAAAATCCTGATTTGTAAAGGCTACTGTACAGTGAAGAGCTGCACATCAGATGGCACCACCTCGCCCACTAAGAATCTACCACAGATTTAAAAAAAAAAAACAAAAAAAACCACAACACTGCAGAGAGAGAGCATTTCAAAATTACAAATAACTTTCCAAAAAGGTACTGGAAAATATTTTAAATTCAATCACTGATCAGTGATCACCTGATTTTTTTTATTGATTTTCAGACTTGTCAACAAGTCTGTCTGAAATTCAGGGACTCAGTTTTATCCCAATCAAATGAAGATGGGCATGTCATTTAAGATGTATCTGGGAAAGAGAGACATATCCCAACTGCCAGGCTAAGCATCACATTTTCACTCCATATGATCTAAAAGAAGAAGTAATGAAAAAATAGGAAAAAATCACCCTTATTAATAGGTAGTACAGACAATTGCACAGTAAAGGTTGTATATGCAACAACTGAGATTTGCCTAAGTGATTAGTGTCCTTAAACAAAAGCAGTGTGGCCTTTTAAGTGCATATTAGAAAACACCTACATATTTGTGTATATATAAATTATAGGTCAGTGCTCATAGGATGCTGCCAAATCTATATTTGAGTCTCCAGAATGCAACTTGCAGCCGCATATGTAACCATTTCCTGGTTTGTCCGGCTCTTAAGTACAGTTTGGTGCTTTCACCATACAGCCTGTAGCTAGGCTGAGATTGTAATGAAATCTTTCATGGTTGTGCTTCAGTACTTGTACCATTGTTAATGTCCTGTTACCTATTTCTGCTCAAAGCAGTCTTGCATATACTAGTAATTCAGACTTTTTCAATTAACCACTGGCATGTCATCTGTACCGGTGACTTACTGGTAAGATCCTTGTTATTATACAAGAGGGAAATATTAGGGCCTATGATTCTCCTAGACCAAAACATTAAAATATTTTTCTCTTGCTATTTGTCCCGCCTCTCTGCCAGCGATTACTGCCCCTCTAAGATGGGCAAAATATCTGCATCTCAGCCACTACAGTGCATACTTCAGTGTATGAACTCAAACGCACAATCTCCAGCAGCTTAAAGCTTTTCACCAGGCAGTAGGCTAATTGTTCATTGAAGGGTGTGATGGACAACTGGGACACGAAGCAGTGCATTTAGGCCCAGGAGTGGAGCTCTCTTTTAAATTAAAATCAAAGCATTTTTCAAAATTTTTTTTTACAAATTACTCTGATGTAGACCACATTAGGAAACGTGCAACAGTACCCTACTAATGCTGAAACAGCGACCACCGCTTACGATCGTTCCTCTGAAGTGCAAGCCTGAAAAACTTTCAATAACGATGGCCATTCTTGGGAACGGATCTAATTCCGGCATCTCTTTCAGTGGGAAGGGTATCCCTTAGAACAGCTTACATGCTTTGAAATAGCTGAGCATTCTTTCTGAATATTTAAACAGTTCAGATGTCTGCTGCATTCCCTTCAAACGTAAAAAAAAATTTCATCACCTGAAGAGTGCTGAAACCCTAAGCAATGTAGCTTTCAGGAACATTTAACTACAACAGTCTATGCACACCTTTAGCAGAGTAGGTAAATGGTACATTTCTGAATACTTCTGTTGTTTGAAATAAATACATCCATCCAAGAACAAGGTAGAGGCAGATTAATGAAATAAAAGGTCCCTGCAGGAGCTGTACATCTTTAGGAATTAAATTCCTTAGTTTATCATAACCAATCCTGCTTTTAAGTGAATGGGACCAGCAGAAGAAACACAGCTTGATGAACACTTAGAAGGATGAACGTGAACATTACAGATGGATCGAGGAATAATAAAAGTATCAATGAAACCTAATCAAAGCAGTTTTCTCAGTTAGCCCTTTACTAAAGAATCAAAAAAAAAAAATCAAAGTACCCCTGATAAAACTTGCAAAGAGAATAGTATCTAAAACATTGATGGGATACCCTTATTCCATCCGAGACATAAGAAAGCAAAATATGTTTAAAAGAAACATATTCCAGAACTGATCTATTTGGCAAGTCAAAAACAAGAATAAAGGTAAAAGTGAAAAGGAACTGAAAAGATGATGGACTCCCATTTTCAAGGCTCTGGAGTTTGCACCCATGTAGCATATGAAGTGTAAGAAACAACCTAACAGACCCTTTAGCCAAACCCACTATGAAATACATTTCAATTCTGAAAGTTAAAACGTATCAAAATATTATTCACCGTATTATGCAAACATCTAAAATGCAAAATTTGGCTCGGCAAGTTGGACAAGGCACTTGGCTTGACAGCCAGGTCTCTGGGTGCTGCTGATCCTGCCGGCTGGCAAACCATTTGCCCATGCAGGTGAGGCACCACATAGGACGACAGTAGCACTGCTGGCATTCTCCTTCGTTTGGCTCTTGGCAGTTCTTGATAAGCTTGATATTTGCGTTAGTCTGCATGCACCCTATGCACGGCTCCAGTTCCTAAAGGAGGAAAAAAATGTCAACACTATGAACTGCACAGAATGGCTTCTTTTATTGCTTTTCAAAGGCTCTTAGAAAGTTATCTCCACGTGAGCATAGCAGGAACCTGAGCTGGGCAGAGCCTCAAGGCAGAACTGCCCCACCGAAAGATACCAAATGCTTCCAATCTCCAGAACTGCATTTTATAGGAACACAAACTAACAAATGAGAACAAAGTAACTCTTTAGACAGAGAAGACTTCCAACTGCTGCATGAGACAGATTAAACAAATGACTGAAAACAAACTTTCCCTGTCTCTCTGGAAGGCCCCATCTGTTTCCAGTACATAGCAGCCAAGATAAGCTAAGCAAGCAGCCATCTCTACTACTCAGACTGCTCTTTTTCACAAAACATACAATATACAGCAAGAAAAATAAACAAAGCAAACAGTTCTTACCACTTATTACAGCAAGTTTTCTTCCTATCTTCCTTCTTTGTAAATAAGAGACATAAATAACAGGGAAAATCTAGGCTCTACCGAAATCAATGGGTGCTTGTCTTCAAAGACCAGAACCTTGCACAATTTTCTGGGAAGTTACTGGAATAGACTGATACTTCCCCACAGTTAATTTTATCACATCAACTTGCAATTGCATATAGGGAACTGGTTTTGCTCATTAATAAATAGTAACTTACACTTCCTATGGGTCATCCAGCTAAAGCTCTCCAAGAGCTTTGTACAACGTTCACGACAAAGCATACTGAACAGGCAAGGAGATCTGCAAGCACCGAGAAAGGAACCTAACAGTATCTATCTAACCTCACTGCAAGGTCACCAGAGCTAGTTAAATCAAAGTTATCCCTAGTATACTGAACAGTACTTTAGTCACGCTTCTAGTGACTTTTAGTCACTGTGATTGCAGCACAAACATTCACAGAGACCTGGTCTTTATTATATTACCGAAGGAAGTATTCCATGTCCTTATTTATAATTAAGGTGAGCCCCAATTAAGAATCATTAATCTGTTACAGAAAAGATCCAGCAAAACCTGGCTTTCTAGAAAAGCAAGCTGTAATGGAGCAAACTGCCTAAAGCATAGTCAACGGTGACTAGCTTCCCATAAACTTTCTGGAAATGTAACGTTACCGTTTACAAACGTCTCAGGTAAAAGGTTTATAGAAATTATTATAGGAACTTTTTCCATGATGCTATTTCTCATTTCTCAAATATTTAATGCTCACAATATAGTTATTTTCCTAGAAGAAGGAACAGAAAAAGCAGCCAGATCTACATTTATTACATGTTTACTGAAATGAAAAGGTGAGCCATAAGCAAATATAGTTACCACACACAGTAATCACAGGCTCACCTATATTGAAAAGCAGAATTATTACAATCTTGCATGGCAAGAAGATCTCACCTGAGTGCTTCGAACAGGGTACGTCTGATTAATTTCCACAAGAGATGTAAAAGTTTCCAGAAATAAATCACTGAGGCTTTGATGGATCACAACATTAGCCGCATTGCTGATAGGAGCACGGAGCTTTTCTCGGAGCTCCCCGTACTCCGTAGAGTTCAACCTGAAGAAAAGATTGAATAAAACATTACCTTGGTTATCCATTCAAATACCTCGTTCAGTACATTATAGAGGTTAATGTCAGACACGTGAATCCACAGAAAAGCTGTTGAGGTTGGTGCGTATTGGTCAGAATAAATGCACAGCATTTTGTTTTCTTTTGCCTTTTGGAGTTTTATTTGGTTAAGCAACTAAAAAAAAAAAAAATTCATAGTTCATTGTATTTTCTCACAGGTGAAAAAATCCTGAAATCCTACATTTATTCCAGTTTTAATTCTGGCATCTGGAGACAGCTGTTTAAAACTGGCTTCCATTTTTAGCATGCTCAACTTAAAGCACTTCTCATCCATTTCCTCCCCACTCTGGAGCTGGGCACCAGGGTCCCACTAATTCAAATAAAGTCACATACACATATTTCTTAAAATCAAAGCCAGAATGTCTCACGTGAGACTTCCAGACGCTGACATCCCAAAATCATGAGCTCTTTTTCAAAGTACAGTCCTTTAACACTTATGAAAGGGGACAAACGAGAACTTTAAGAGTGGCATTCAGGGACAGGACAGATACAACTTAGACAGCAGAACATGCTGTCCTCCTGCCTCAACCCCAACCTGCAGATATAAATATACAAATATAAGTTCAGCCCTCACATCCAGCCCATCCTTCACAGCCGTGTCAAACTGCCAATAGGATATACCAGAGATCAGTTAAAACATCATATGAAAATAAAGCTAGGCTTCTAAAGTAGTGTACGTTTTTTTTTTTTTTTTAACTAATAAATCATGCAGAAACTGTAAAATACTGCATATTTTCTGTCCGCCTTGTTTATGCCTATTTATTTGTACTATGTCTAAATTCTAGTTTATAAACTCCTGAGGACAGACGCTAGTTATTGTATCATACCTGGCATACATCATGTAGATACAGTGCATAAAAATATCAGAAGAATGTCAATTAATATCAAGTTTCTGTACTTTTATGAATTATAGATAAAAGCTGAAATTTTACAAAGGCTACAAACAGCTCCTGGATAGGACTCACAATTTGATTTGAGGCAGTTTTCATACTACGTTGTTTCTGCTATAGTAAACCTCTCTTAAGTGAGGCCCACAGACTACCCGTGGCACATGAGGCCTTGTACAGACCCTGCAATGAGACATTTCTGTTGTGGCTGAACATTTTTTGACTAAACAGCTCTGAACTGCAGATTCAGGACTTCCCAGCTCAATGTTTCCACTCATTTAACAGCGTTCATGAGGGAGCCCTGGGAACACTGCCCTGAAATTCCTCGTTCTTCCTACCACCAACTCAGTTCCCCGAGGAACAGATACTGTACAACGCAATGCTGGCTTAGCTTCAGCTCCAGGTGGTCTCCATGTTTTTAAGCACTGCAGGATAATAGTGTTGTTTGCTAATAAATACTATCTCTCCAAGTAACAGAGACCTTTGTATCCAGAGGAAAAACTTACAGGGAACACAGAAAGCACTGTGGCCTGTCTTTACAAAGGCATTTTCCTTTCATAAAGATTCCACCATATCTAATCTGATTCTGGAAATATACAATGATTCTATACCCTTAGAAAGGGAATTTTGTACTACCGCACTTTCCTTAAATCCTGTACCACTGCATTCAAGTAGAGATTTGCTATTTTTGACAAATCTTATTACAAGAACTTTTAAACACTCTTCTTGGTGCTGTTCTGTTTAACCACCAAAGGAAAATTCTGGTTTGGGGGTTTTTTCCCCCCCCAAAAGGAACTGCCAAGGAAGTCCTGATTTTCTCGACTGGGATGTAGTTTTAACACTCAGACTCTGAAGCACTTGCAGAAGAAAATCATTAGTTGCTTAATAATTGTTTGGTCACCACTTTCACAATTCTATATAAATCTCTCCTCATTATTCTGTCACGCTTACTTTAACCCTCATTCTGAGCTCTGTTTGCCTAGATCTAACACAGTCATCTCAGCAGCTTCCTCATGCTTGCCAGGACCCGTTCACCTAAAAGCTTGGTAATCTGCTTACTTGTAATTACTGCTAAATACGTGCTGCTGTCATCTGTTAAGAAAAGTTACTTCTTACATGAACTGTTGCTTTTCCCTCAAACCCTGTAAAACTGCGTAAGACTGATCTCCTTCAAATTGTGACCATTCTTTTTTAAGTGCAGAAAAAGCTGAGCAGATACTACTGTTGGTATAGAGAGACTCAAATTGTTATGAGCTTAAAGCAGACCTGACTGTATTTGCTATTCTGCGTCAAATTTTGTCTATTATTTAAAACTTAAAATCTTAGTAATACCAACAGCCTACTGCATGACATACGACTCTACAGCAAACACGCTCAAATACTTTTTCAAATTAATAGCTTCAGGAGAACGAACATGTCTTTGTGTACGCCCTTTACTGATACAGCAACAATGAAGACATTAGCACCAATCTAATCAAGAGTGTTTGTTGCAAGTTTCTGCAGAACTTGTATTCTTGTCAAGGTAGACAGACTGCTAAAACAAACAAACAGCATGGCCCCTTGGAAAACAAGCACTAACAATTCACAGCACATTTTCCATGATTTACAACTACTAGGATACACAAATCAGAAGTGAACCTAAATTACTTCCTTGCTTCACTGTAAGAGCAATTGGTTTGCAGTAAGTCAGTGAGAACTCTTTCAAGCAGAGACTAAATTATGAGTTTTGAGCAGGAGGAGGGAAAAAGAAGTCATGACTGAGCAATGGTCAGTTTTACAGAAATCATTATTTCTCGTCCTCCAAAACATGGAAGACTAAAGATTCTCCATTTCTTTCCTGTTCTCTTTCACCCAAGTTTTTGCAGTTACTTCCTCCTACCTCTACTAAATTCTCTTCCTAAGAAAGGACTAAACAGGGACGTCCCTCTGATTAACCGTTGTGGATTCAATATTGTAGGTCTGTGAATCTTGCTAAACAGCCTTTCTTCACTGCACTAAGTGACAGAACTGTGCACAAAGAACCTCTGAGCACTGGGCATGGAGCAAAAAGAAAGGGATGAAACCCTAGAAGTCTTCAGATCTGCCAAGAAGCACTCCATTAACATCATTAAATGACATACATATAACATAACGGTGTAGCATGTTCTGCTTTACCGAATATCAAATGCCTTCACGTAGGGATTAATACTGGCAACACGGATGGTGAGGAACTGCACAGGCATATTTGAGTCTGGTGAGAGTTCATGCTGTCTGGAGTCTGTAACCGTTAAATGAATGTCCTGCTGCTGGGCAACATGTAAACAGTAGGTGGTCACTTTAATCACCCATGTGTCTGTAACAATCACCCGGGCTCCTGGGGCTCCAGTAGCAAATTTGTCAATTCTCCTGAATTCCATATTGATGGAAGAAGCTACTGCCCTCCAGCCCGACTGCGGGAGAGCATGAACAGCAAGCGTCCGAGCTAACGGATGATTATTCCAACCTTTCCGTGACCAGTAATATGCCAGGGCGCTGGTCACTGCTGGGAGGAGAACGGCAAAAAAGAAGAAGGTTTTCCATCCTTTCGAAGCCAAGTAAAAAAAATAAAGATGTTTTTCCGGTGCAGCAAAGCACATTCCAAGGTAATAGCCTGCAAGGAAAAAGATTTACTTTCAGAAAACAAGTACACACGTAAACGCGTATCCCTCAATTTTGTAGTTAATCTTAACGGGTGAGGTCACCTCCAAATCCGTTTTATTTTTGGATGGCAACTCAAATTCTAAGCCTCTTGGCCTAAGCAATTTGGTGCAAGTTCTTACCTGTCGGACGTCACTTATTTTTAGCAGAACTGTATCGCTAAAGGAAGCTGACTTGAACCAGCTGGTTAAATAAAAAGTTATCGCTTTGGGAGCACACGTACTCCAACGCGGCCAGCTAGTTCCAAAGGTGTGTATTACAAAGAGGCTGTGGGGCTCCTCTACCGAAAGACCGTAATCCCGAGATTTCTGATACGACGCACACCGCCACATCTACCCGGGGTGG